TTTTGTCATTGAAGCACACACTTTATAAATATTTGTCACCTTTAGGTTTTCACTATCCCTTTAGATTATTTTTTAATCTGGTTTAAACCTTAAGTTTCCCCCTTAGTTTGAAGCCTTTTGGAAGACATCTTCAGTCGGAGTTTTAGTGGGTCCAAAAGGGTGACCAAAGTTCGTGGAAGCGAAAATACTTAGGTCACCCGAGATTACATTCACACACCGCCCTATCATCATGGTGACGGTTCTGTTCAGGAGAAATAAAGAAATAAATTGCCACATTCCAAATCTATTTGACAGAATGAAGTTTTTCGGGTCTGCTAGTACCTAATAAAGAAAAATGTGTAGCAAACTAATTAGCAGAATGTGGCAGGCTCTGGTTGCGAATACTAAAAGAAGAAGCGAGAAACAAGAATACACCAACATTAGCGGATTGTTAGAAATTCGGAACATATACAGCACACAATATCTAAACACACAATTCACAAACCTTTAGAGTTTCAGAGTTCATAAACCTTAAAAACCTTCAGAGTTCTTAACTAAAAAATGGCTATTGTCCAGAAGTCACCTGTCGGTTTTGAAAATCTTAACTTGCTTAACAACCTGTTGGTTATACTTTACAGACAGTTTTTAAAATATTCTTTTATGAAAACGATAAACAGTAATTAATAATAATTTTCATTAAAATCAATTATAATCCCATAAACCTAATATTTAATGAAAACCTATCTAGCTATTTCCAATAGGTAGTAATGTTTCCAATTGTATGAAAAATGCAACATCGTCCGGTCTATTAAAATTAATAGACCAAGCTAGCTAGGACACCTTGAAAGAATGGACACTGGAGACCCCAAAGACAGAATATATTCTATCAAGAGCCAGTAGGAACCAGGAAGAGAGGCAGGCCAAGATCTAGATTTAAAACTCAAGTCGAAGATGACTTGAGGAATGTAGGGGTCAGAAATTGGAAAGCCAGGGCGAAAGATAGGGAGGAATAGAGACTAATTCTTGAACAGGCCAAGACCCACCCAGGGTTGTAGAGCCAAAGATGATGATGATGAGTATTGAGTAATGAGGTGAATTCATGTTTAACGTTATATACAAGGACTTTATGAAATACTAAAAGTTGCCAATCGTTTTAAAATGTATGCTGCTGTTTAACACTTTCATGGGCGTGAGCAAATTAAATAATTTTAATTATTTGCCTTAAACGATTAAAAATTATATAACTACTCCTAATGATTCACAGCTTCAAAAAAAATTGCCACTTTCGCTATTTTATTAGTGTGATGGGAATAATACTTCCCAGTGCTCGAAAAAAGGAAATTCAAAAACTAATATAACTTAATTTGGAACTCCTAAAATACACAATATTTATGCATAAACTAGTAAAATACATCTCATTGGCCATAAAATTTCTTAAAATATGGTGTTATGCATAATGGATGACTGTAGTAGGTTTAGATATACCGAGTCATTTTCTAATTTTGCTTAGTACTGCACATTCTACATCGCCTGTAATTTTTCTCCTTGTTTGGCATATGTCTATCAACTTCCGCGTATCCCACTTCATTTGGAACTAAACGTTGATTTTAAATATTTTTTTGTGATATTGGTCGAACTTTTCGACATCGCACATCATCTGATTATAAACGCATACAACTTTAGAGCATGACACATTTGGTGTGGAGCCATCTTTATTTTTACGATTGACAAACTATATATCTCATGGAAAGAAAAAAATGCTCAAGATGTTAAGATGCTTTATTGTCCATCTACTTTATTGCAGCTACTTTTGCTTTGTACTAAACATAACTCCACGGCACTTCTTTATTTCACTTTTATACATATCTGGTAATATCTTTCTGTGGGATCTCACCTTATAAACAGCATAAATCTCATCACTTAATAACTAATTTATAAGAGAAAAGGATATAAAGAAAATATCAAAGGCTATCAAACATCCCTTGTTTTTAGACAGTGCGCAAGGTTTATAACAACTTTTCACCTAGGTATTTTGCTCCATCAACGTCTGTCGACTTTCCAGTGTAGATATGGAATTTGTATATATAGCCTTTAATTAAATCTGCCAAACATACTTTATATCCTCATTTGACAGGCTTCATGGGCATGTATTGCTTGAGTGATGATCTGCCCTTGAACGCTGTCATCGATTCATCAACAGCTTAGTAAGATAATGGTTACACATAGATTGTATTGTACTGTTTAGTTTTTCCACAAGTGATCTCACCTTATTCAGTTTGTCATATTCAGGTTTTCCTGGACTCGGTGAATTTTGATTTTTCTTCTTCTTCAAGTTCCACTCCTATCGGAGATTGGAAATCATTCTGGCAATTATAATTTTATTGGTTACTCGCCTGAATAGTTCAATTGAACTGCATCCAAACCACTCACGGAGATTGCGTAGCCACGAGATTTTACGTCTTCCTACGCTTCTTCTACCTTTGATTTTACCCTGCATTATATTCCTTAGTAGTTCGTACTTTCCACCTCTCATGATGTGCCCTAAGTATTCCAATTTCCTGATCTTTATGGAATTTAAAACTTCGCATTGTTTTCCTAGTTGTTCGAGAACTTGTTCGTTTGTTTTGCGATCCATCCATGATATTTTCAAAATGCGTCGGTAACACCACATTTCGAATGCTTCTAGGTTTTTAATGTTGGATTTTTTAAGTGTCCAAGCTTCAACTCCATACAAAAGGGTAGAGAAAATATAACATCGAAGCATTCTTATCCGGAGCGATATATTGATATCGCGATTACAAAAAGTTTTCTCATTCTATTAAAAGTTGACCGCGCAATTTCAATGCGGCATCTTATTTCTTTTGTCTGATCAGTATCTTCTGTGATCCATGCTCCAAGGTATTTGTACAAAGATATTTGTTCAATTTCTGTATTATCTAGTACTAGCTTAACTTTGATGTTTTGTGCTTTTGTAAATACCATGAACTTGGTTTTCTTCAAATTGATTTTTAGTCCATAATCGTTGCAATATATATTTAGTTGTTCAGCAAGGTGTTGCAGTTCTTCTAGTGTTCCTGCCAAAAGGACGGTGTCGTCAGCATATCTTATGTTATTAAGTGGCTCACCGTTTATTATAAGGCCCTCACTGATCTCGGCAAGCGCTAATTCTGAGATGGCTTTACTGTATAAATTGAATAACAAGGGTGATAAAATACACCCTTGGCGGACCCCACGGCGAATCTGGATATCCTTGGTCAGTTCGTTTTCAACTTTCACTTTTGCCGTTTGATTCCAATAGAGGTTACAGATGATTCTAATGTCTCTACTGTCTATGTTTTTATTTAATAAAATTTCTTTAAGTCGATTATGCTGAACTCTGTCAAATGCCTTCTCAAAATCAATGAAACAGGCATATACTTCCTGATTAATATCTAAGCATCTCTGCGAAAGAACACTTACTGCAAACAGTGTATCTCGTGTTCCCAGACCTTTCCTAAATCCCATTTGTGTATTACTTATGAGTTCATCTAATTTCTTATGTATTCTATTGTGAATTACTTTTAAAAACAATTTCAAGACATGACTCATTAAGGCTATGGTGTGATGTTCATTGCACTCCTTTGCATTGGCTTTTTTGGGAAGCAGTATGAATGTTGACTGGAGCCATTCTTTAGGTATTATACCTGTTCTATATATGGTATTGAATAGATCCAAAAACAAGATCAATAGATTCATTCATTTGATTTTTATTTATGTCTAAATTTTCAATTAGCTTTTTTATCGCTTAGATCCAAATACTTGCAAAACTTCTGATACGCCTAAATATGTATCAGTGGATCAGTTATTGGAAAGCTGAGGAAGTGTATGTATTTCCATTATAATCATTACTCCAACTAGGGCCATCAGTTCCTCTAGATTTGTATCTTGCCAATCATTAGATGGACCTGGTTGATTTGTTTTATTAGCCTTTACAGACCACTTTTGCTTTGCGTATAGATTAGTCTGATAAACTCTCATATTAAGAATATTTAAATCAAAAATTTTGGTGTAATAATTAATATCTTTATCTTCAATATTAAAATCGTCTGTAGAATTCTTCTTTGAAAAAATCTACTGCAAAGTTGTCAAAACAAATCTGTCATGTTCCCATTTCTCAACATTTTCTTCATTTTCACTATCTTACAATGTATGTTCCAGTTGAAAATGTAACGGAAATAAAGGGGAAAAAAATTACTTGAATATTGAGTATGTAAAGTTACAAACAGGATGGATTCACATCAGAAAAATCTGAACCTTTAGCTATTTCTTCTTCTGAATATTCCTCATTGTAGGGTGAAGAATATAAATAAGCTTATGCAACCTCAGCATCTCTGGAGTTATCTGGATCCCACATTTCTAAATTAAAATAATAAAAATGAACACCGAGGATGGTCGGTGGGAAGCATATAACCCACTTACAAATAAAAATTTGGCATACGGCAAATACGTTCTATTATCATTGTTTTTATATGGTCTGTATAAAAGTCAAAAGAATAGAAAAATAATATTTAAATTCTCAGCCAATTAATTTTGGTGCAAACAATTATTTATTCACAACTCGAATATAATCGCACAAAAAAACCGTCCAAGCAGCGTATATTCAAACATATGTATAAGTGGTAATATAAATATGTGTACCTCAGCTTCAAAGTCATTTTTGTGGATTTACTGATATTACTACAGGGCGACAACAGCCTCAAAAGGTAGAAAAATTAATATACACTGCCTGTAGATGTGATATTATATGGTGGGAATTAAACTTCCCACTAACTACAAAAGGGTTCGGCTCAAAGATTATACCATTAACCTGCCACATAAAAATAAGTCTAACAGCGCTCTTGGTCAAAGAGCCTGCTCCATGTACTTTCTAAAATTAAAATTGTCTAAATATTATTGATTGATATTCAAGAAAATAAAAATGTTTCCTTCATGACCTCGTACACGTTTTGGTAATTATCTATACTTACGTGCTATATTTTTAGTAAAAGTACATCACTTCTATCAGTACGTGTTGGATCCTCCTTTAGATCTTCGAAAGGTCAAATTCATGATGTGAAGACAGTGCATTGTCATCACAATTATAACCCAGAAACCTATGACTATGATATCAGCATATTGGAACTAAAGACTCCGTTGAATTTTACTAATAGCATTCGTGCTGTATCTTTGGCATCATCAGGTATGTACTTAAAACTGAACTTTGTCAAGATTACATTCAAATTACTGTAAAACTATTATTTTTTATCGTTACTTATTTTATACTAATTCCGGAAGCAAACTGCAAGTACTGGTATTTAGGCAAAAAGACGACTACAAATGAAGTTACTGTGTAATTTCTGATAGAGAAGTTAAAGAGAACAGTGGTAGTCCAGGATATGACGGTAAAAATAGTAGAAAACCTCTAAAAATTTTTTGTATGCATCGGTTTGCTAAAAACTTTGATAGTAGTTAAAAAGTAGGTTAAAGATCAAAATCTATCCTATGGTAATATGTGTTTTTTCTTTGGGGATGGTTTACCACTTCAACTCGGGGTGAAAAAAGTTTATAAAAAAAAATCATGGTCACTAGAATAGTGAATTTTAAGACAAAAATGTTTTTTGGAGTTTTTTTAGTCAATATTTTTGGAGCTATTCTTGAATGAAAGTTTACAAATTACGCGTCAAAGAAGCATGTTTTTAAACGGGTTATCGTGAAAAATATTCGCATACTTTAGCACCATCTTCAAGCCGTTTTAGCTTAACATTTTTTAAAACGAAGGCTTGAAAAAAATTAATATACACCGCTTAGCTTTTGAAATTAACTACAAAAAGGTTTATATTAAATTTTTCTCAAGACGTTCTTTTTAGTGGTAGAAAAATAAGCACAGCAAACTGGCAACAATTGGCAATGGATAGAACTGACTGGCGTAATGGACTTGGAAAGGTCGAGGCTCTTTTGTAGGGATGTAGCACCAATGATGATGATGATGTTCTTTTTAAAAAGTGTTGCGTCAAAAAGGCTTGAAGATGGTGCAAAACGCATGCAAATATAACCTTTAAATAATCATATCTCGTCTAATTTTCAATATATAGAAATAAAAGAAATTAATATCTTCATAAAAAAAAGCTTTTTTGTTGTAGTGTAGAACTTTTTCTGTATTTTTGTAGTTGGTAGGTTAATTTGAAAAAAGGGGATTTTTTGAGAAACTCCGAAAAAAGTCTCTTCACTTTAAATTGGTTTTCCTTTTTAAAACTAAACTTTTGTAACCAATTAAACTTCTAGAATATCATGTTTGTAAATAAATGAAGCAAATTTGTAAATTAACAACGTATAGTTTTTACCAGGGCGGTTTTGGAGAGGAGTATGTTTGTTACTTTGTTCGTCAGAAAAAATATAAGCAGACTTTATTTTGGTTATAATTAACCTTAAGTTTTCATAAAATTTTCCATGAAAAATTTGACCGTTTTTAAGGCTTTAAGGGACTTTTGACAAGACAATTGTTTGCCATCAGCAAATATGGAAAATTGTTTTCACAACGATGTTAGGTATAATCTTTTATTTCGACAATAAAAACCTTGCAAACTACCATCATGTGTATTCTTTACGCACGATGAAGGTAATAAAATGAACAGCATTGTCCAATAGCTTCCAGTAAGTTCCAGTAAGTAAATCGATGGGAAGTTTCCTGAGTTCTGGTTGCTTTATATATAGGTTGCTACTAGTGTACATAGGCATGTTGTGTTACTATAATGGCCATATAGATTAAAGAATTTCAGTTTAACTCAAGTTCTCATTAATCCTACCGACGACAGGTAAACCCTCGAAACACATGTAAAGAATACTATATCAGAATGTTGATACTCGAATTAAAAGAAATTGCAATCATCTAATTATATATATATATATATATATATATATATATATATATATATATATATATATATATATATATATAATATATATATATATATATATATATATATGGAGAAAAGAAATTAAATCTTTGCAGATAAGTTAAATAGTAAACTCTTAAATATTGGGGAAATCTGCAAGAAAACTAATGTGTATCAATTATTTCACCTAACGTTTTCGCCAAAGTAAATTAATTTAGCTTCTTCAGGGTTGAAAGAGAATAAATTATAATTAGCTACCATATATTATCTAATAAAAAACATTTACCTTACCGTAAAATTTTAGAAATGTCGAGTTATGATGTTAAAAAACTTTAGCTAGTAACAACATAGTGGTGATTTTGTGTTACTATGTGCAAAAAAGTTTATTTGTTAACGTTGGAAATGTATGGTAGCTTTGAACTTAAAACGCAAAGGTTTACCCAAGCTTAATCGAAAAACCCAATGTAACTACATTTAAAGGAAGTAATTCTTTGAATTGTCGGCAATAACTAAATTTTTGATTGTTGTAAAGTTTGAATGTGAGCTTCTGTTTTCATAGAACGCAAGCGCCGAACAATTACAAGTAGTACTTTTGAATATATATGTCGTTAAGGTTCATTGGTAAAACCGATGAAGTTAGATCCCAGTCTGGGGAGATATTAGTTTAGAATTTTCTTAATTGAAATTCTTTTTTTAAAATAGTATATTGTTCATGTAATATTATAATAATATCTTATTGAGATGTATCTAAAGCAAGGGAATGTTATCTTTTTTAGTTAATAAAAATTATTATTAAGTAGGTTAGTTGTTAATAGATATATCAGTCAAGTTAGTTATCTGTGATGTTGTATTGTTCTTGGTATCTGATTTAAGCAAGAAGTGGTATATATCGCTTAGATTCTTAATGTCACTCTTAACATTGATGGAAAAATCGTTAAGGAAAATATAAGACATTTCAATGAACTCTCTTTTAGATTTATTGTTTCTCACGGTGGAGCATTGAAGTGTTCGTATAGTCCATGTGATGATTACTGGAATGGACATGTTTGGCTAATGCACAGCGGTCAGGGTGAAGTCGAGAATCACTTTTGTGTAGTGTAATACGTGATTTCAATAATTGAGATGTTTGGCCGATGTAGGAACTGCTGTAAGAGAGGCATGGAATGTTGTCGACAATATTACTAAGCCTATCTATGGGAGTTTTATCTTTTATCTTCGAATAAAGATTATTAATTGTTAGGGCTGATCTACAAGCAACATTAAGTTTAATGTTATTATTATTATTCCCAAAGCTATTTTCAAAACTTTTTAGAATCCTTGTTAACCCCGGAGTGATATCTCTGAAATAGGGTAATGAAAAATATTTATTGATAGGAGTATCCGAGACTGGGTTCCTACTTAAGACATCAGGATCAGCATTGTTAGTCACGATGGAAGGTGAAGTATCTTCGTTATGGATAGTGTTAAACAAAATCTTATTTACTAATGGTGTTGGATAAGAGTTTGAAATAAAAAGTTTCAGAAGGATGTTTAGGTTTTTTGTATGAAATGAAGGATCTGATAGTTTAATTACTCTATTTTTCATCTGTTTGATTAAGTTGACTTTGGTAGAGTTATTATGGTAAGAGTGGTAGTTAAGGTATCTACCAGAATGTGTCGGTTTTTGATACCAATCTATTTTAATGTTGTTGTTTTCCCTAATCATCCTTATGTCGAGAAAGGGGACGAAACAATTACCATCTTCCCTTTCTATAGTGAACTGGATGTAGGGGTCATAACTATTAAAGGTGTCTAATAGTTTATCTACCTTGTCATTGGGTATAGCCAAAATTATATCATCAACATATTTTTAATACGGTATTTACGGTAAGGTAAATGTTTTTTATTAGATAATATATGGTAGATAATTATAATTTATTCTCTTTCAGCCCTGAAGAAGCCAAATTAATTCTCTTTGGCGAAAACCTTAGGTGAAATAATTGATACACATTAGAGTTTTCTTGCAGATTTCCCCAATATTTAAGAGTTTACTATATATATATATATATATATATATATATATAATATATATATATATATATATGCACAACTTATTTAATTTTAAAATCCACAAGGAAAAAATTCCTGTAGCTGGCTGTATACCACGTATCACAAAAAGAGGTTAGTCTTTGTAAATGGGTATATTTATTTAAAAAACCCTTAAAAGGGCTACATCAATAAAACAAACGTTTTCGGACCACACAGTCCATCATCAGGTTTTAAAATCGAAAAATGCTAGGTCACAATGCCTGAGCCACCAAAATACTAGGGTAAAAACCCTTTAAATTACATTTAGTTATAAAAGTATGTACATTGTGTTGTAAAATAACTGTGATGTTCAGTATTAAATTAAATTTGACTAGAGGTAACACATGGCTGAATCGAGTTCCAGAGCCGGTGAGAGAGAACCTCTACACGCGGAGAACAGCTTGGAACCAGCCAGGTTTTTTTTTATTTAATTTTAGTAAACCTTATAAAAATTTTGGATAACATGTTTTCAGGTACTATTATTAGTGACGGGTTAGTTGGAATAGCTACTGGTTATGGAAGATTATCTCAAAATAGTAAAGCTTCAGAGATGCTAAAAGCGGTTCAGTTGCCTATTATATCTACCAATACTTGCAAAAAATATTATGATGTTACGAAAAGAATGTTTTGTGCCGGTTACGATGAAGGAGGAAAAGATACATGTGAGGTAAATTAAATGTAATAAGAATAGTCTATTTATTTTGTAAATGCAAAACATGTAAGCTCCTTGGGTAATCTTTTCATGATTTCTTTCAGTCTATGTTACACCCTTTATTTTCAGGAGAAAAAAGGAGATTTTAGAAGTTATCCCTTTAATCCACAATGATTCAAAATACGTTTAAATTAATTAAAGAAAGGTTATTTATATATACATATTATCAAAAGAAAAATATTAATCTAAATAAATTGATATAAACAAGCACTATAAATAAGAACAAACATAACATATGTAAAAATTCACTTCTGTTGAAGCATATTTAATCATCCTGCAATTTCTTCTTTCTAATTGACATATCTAGGGTTAATCATGGTGTTTCCACACTAGGTTCCCTCTTTAAAATAAGTCAATAGCTTGTGTGTTTTGTATATTTACTAACCCTTCACTTCTAAGAACAGAAATAATTTTCTCGCTTTCTAAAACCTTCTCCAAAAGTGTAGTTAAAAAAAATAGGGAAAACTCCCTTTTGTTCGAAACCCTTTTCTCTCCTTAAGTATAATTAGAGCTAATCTCTCATCAGCCAAAAAAAATAGTTACTTAACTTGTGTACCAGCCTTCGAGTGATCAACCTGGCGGTAAGTCATGTATTCAGATCATTTTTGTTTCGCTATTTCGACCTTTTATTAATAATTATAGACTTGTATGTCACTTTTGTTTGCCATTGCATCTTGCATCCTATATTTTGCTCTAATTAGTTACATTCTGGCATTCATATTTGCCTCCCAGAACCAGTGTTATTAATGAACAGCTTAAATATTTCATGAAAGGCATCCGGACAAAAATGTAAGTCACATGTACGTCCGCAATTTGACCCATATAAGTCTTTGGCCAGTCGCTACCTATAAATTTGTATACGCCACTGTGTAAGTACTTTTTCTTTTGACTTTTGTTGTTTTTAAAATTTTTGTCCAAGTTGTTTGTTCTGACAGTTGGTGTTATTTGTTTCTTTCTTTCTTTTTATGTATTTGACTATTTTGCTTGATCATCATCATCAATGGTGCTACAGCCCTATGAAAGAGCCTCGACCTTCCCAAGTCTATTACGCCAAGCAGTCCTATCCGTTGCCAACCGTTGCCAGTTTGCTGCGTCTATCTTTCTACCATCCTCATCTACACCATCCTTCCATCTGAGTTTTGGTCTACCCCTTTTTCTACTTCCCACGGGTTGTGACATAAGGATTCTTCTAGGAGTGTTGTTCTGCTGTGATCTTGCTAGATGTCCTGCCCATCTTAGTCTTCCTATTCTTATAAGAGATACTACGTCTTTACCACCAAATATTTGTTTATATCTGTGGTATACCTCGTAGTTGTATCTCCTCCTTTAAACACCATTTTCACAGATGCCACCAAATAGTCCTCTCAGGATCCTTCGTTCAAATATAAGCAGAAGGTCTTCGTCTGCCTTGGAGATGGTCCATGTCTCCGATCCATATATCAACACTGGCTTTATAAGGGTTTTGTATATGGTTATTTTTGTTTTTTGGCTTAAGTTTCTACTTCTCATATGTCTACTCAGTCCAAAATAGCATCTGTTTGCCATTATTATCCTTCGCTTGATTTCTTCCGTTATGGCGTTCTCTTTGGTGATCAGGTAGCCTAAGTATGTGAATTTTTCCACCACTTCAAAGGTAGAGTTATCAACCGTGAATTGGGGACCAATGTTCCTGACTCTATTGTTGGGTGTTGATGGCATCATCTTAGTTTTCTTCTCATTTACTTGCAGGCTCATAGATTTTGAGGCATTTGAGAAGGTGGTATACATTTTTTCTAGCTTGCGTGTTGTGCGGGTAACTAGCTCCACATCATCTGCATATGCCAAAATTTGGGATGATTTATTAAAAATATTTCCTCTGTTGTCTATTCGGGCATCTCTGATTGCCTTTTCCAGTGCTCTGTTGAAAAGGAGACACGCCAGCGCGTCTCCGTGTCTTAGCCCAACATGCGTTCCAAACGCCTATGACTGTTCGCCCTGTATTTCGACTTTGCAAACCACATTACGCATTGTAGCCTTAACCAATCTTATCAGTTTATTGGGGATGTGGAATTCATTTATGGCTTTATACAATTTATTTCTTAGGATACTATCATAGGCAGATTTAAAGTCTACAAAAAGATGGTATGTATCGATATTGAATTCATTGGTTTTTTACAGTATTTGCCTTAGCACAAACATCTGATCTGTTGTTGATCGCACAGGCCTAAAACCACTTTGATATTCCCCGAGAAGTTCCTCTGAATATGCACTTAGGCGACCATATAAGACCCTCGATAATATTTTGTATGCTGTATTAAGGAGGGTTATTCCCATCGAGCAACAAGACAACAGAGGGAATGTAAAGGTAGTGGGGGCAAAAATATTGTTAGGCAAGAAGTGCGATCTTTAGAGGCCACATTAAACAAGCAAAGAGAGTCTCTCTCCTTGTTTGACATCAAATTTAGTTGGGTTATGTTATTTTTTGTCCCAAATGTTACATGAAATCTTATTTATATTGAAGTGTTTCAACAATTGTGTCGCATTTTTAGACTATTACCGTTAATAATTAATTAAAACTTTCTCGTCTAAGACACATTCTGAAAAATATTATATAGCTACTGTTAATAAGTGTCGGAAATTTTAAATTTGGCGCATTCGCATTTCCGGATATGTCCGCCATCAGAGGCCACTTTTTTGGTCTCCATTTCATAAGGATTAGATTCTCTCTTTTGTCTTTTTGCTCGATGGTTATTCCTCTATAGTTTCTACATTCCAACTGGTTACCCTTTTTGTGTAGCGGGCAAACGATTCCAATACACCACTCTTCCGGGAATTTTATTCATTCATTTAGCCTGGGATCATTCCAGGCTCTCAGTATTATTTTATATATTTGATTAGTCACAGTAGCACCTCCACATTTAATAAGTTCCGCGGGTATACCATCACTTTCTGGAGATTTATTGTTTTTTAGGTGTATTGTATTTTGGTTGATATCTTGCCTATATATGTAATTGACAAGAAGGTACTGGATTTTTTCTTTAAAGGTGAAAATACTAGTTTCAGGGCTTTTTTCCCATGGGTTAATTTTGTTGAAGTTTTAAAAACAAAAGTTTTTAGTGTCGTATTATTAGAAGTAGCATCTGTTTTTCATCTATTTTTCTTCTTCGTATAGTCATACGATTTCCTTAATAATTTGGACCGCTCATTAAATGAATGGAAATAAGAGTATTAAAAAATGTTTATTCTCATATCTCGTTATACCCACTAAAGACACTTTGCAATAATGTAGATAGTTTTTACAAACTGAAATCTACTATTGGGGCTTGCTAAAACCGAGATACTGGCTACGTCTTTTGGGACTTTAGCAAATCGTATTATCTCATCGACAATACTAACTTTATAGACCCATATTCCAGTTAAAATCGATTTATAACAATTTGTATCATAGTATTGAACAACACAAGAATACATATTTGGCAAAATACGGTGACGACTTAGAAGAGATGTCTACAGGAACAGAATTCTAGGAACATGAGAAAAATATGTTACTCTTCGACAACAAGTAAAGCTTGAGAAAAACGAATACTGTAATAAAAGTAAATACAGAGATATAGACAGCACGATAGGGTATAATAGATCAACAGAAGCATGGAAGAAATAAAAAAAACATATAAAGCAATAAACGAGTTAGTTATATAAAACAGATTATTACACCAAATGAATGGACAAAGCATTACACAAAATTTTTGCAAGAGAATAGAACGCGGTATATCTCACAAGCCCCTGTAATAATAATAACGTAGGAAGCCGAAATCATAAAGAAAAATATAACTAAAGCACTACGGAAATTTAAAAACAACAAAGTACTAGGACCATTAAATTAAAGGAGGATAGGAGATTCCAGAGAAGTGGATATGATAGCGTGCTTAGGAAATAACCATGGAAAGCAATGAGAAAAATGCGCGTTACAGAGAAATGGGTAAATACAGTTGAACAGTTTTAAGAATAGTTGAACTGGATTTTACGAGAATATATCTACAAATTACCAGAGCAAATAGAATAAGAATTGAGAAAATACAAAAAAGTTGGAAAACAGACATGTACGCGCATGTACAAAGAATGCCAGAGCATAGGTGGACTACAAGTAATAAAAAAGACATTATCATATGGCCCAAAACTATGAGTGCTGAAAGGAACATAGATTTCATTTGCCAAAGAAATTTTGATTAAAATATACCTAGAGGCATATGGTATGGGTACTTGAAAAACTCACTTACTGAAATCTACACAGAAAGCTACTATGTCCTTGGGCAGATGTAAAAGGATGTGTGGTAAAAATTTGTAGCGTATCCTCATAATGACCCTTTGGTTATACACAAGGGTTATTGAACTAATGATAACCTATGGATTTGTGACAAGGTGGTCAAAGATGTAGCAAGTGGAAGCAATAATTTACGGGGTCCATAAAAACAACTTCTAGAATGGCGTTGCAAGTCCTGCTAAGTCTTCCACCACTTCATATCTTCATACATGTACGAATACATCTTTATTCATATTTATATATTGAAAACTAATCTATGAGCTTAAAGTAGATATCATAATAAGACCACTCATCGATGCAACAGCAACGAGATATAGCTTTAATAAGCAATTCAAAATTATCATAAATAGGGAATACAGGGAATACTGTAAGTATTGTGTACCTATATAAGCAGAAGATAACTGGTACACTTATCGATAAAAAACGTCTAAGCGTGTAGAAACTGATAAAGTAGGGACAAATCAGGGGATATATTTCCCAGTAAGTCTATCTAAGGATGTCACAATTTTCCAGGTGTAAATACCGGCAATCCATCACTCTGTTAAAGAGAGAAAAGGGCAGAAAATAACGCACCGTTCAATCGCCATCTTTATAGATAGCCAGGCAACACCTAAGGTCAATTCTGCAGGGGTCAATTCTGAGCTAGTATGGAATT